CATGAGTCTTACCATGCATACTTTGCTCAGGTTATAGTTCTGTCCCCCTGAGAGGGCTTCAGAAGGCAGTTGGAACTCTTGGAGAGGACTACACAAACCTATGAGCGAGAATAATCTTCGCTTTAAAAAACTGTGACTGCAATGAACATAGATTTTAAAGCCAAAAAGATCTGGATTGGGGTTTTATTCCTGCATTTTCCCAGCTATGGGACTTTATGTAGGTGGCCACCAAAGATTCGGCTTCCCCTTGTGTTAAATAGACTCACTCAATCACAACCACTTACTCAGTCCATGCCATGTTTCGGTTTTTAGCACAGGGTCGATAACTATCAAGTGCTGGAATTTATGTTCACCTAAATATGTTTTCCAATGCTCAACGTTGCCAGTTTTCTCATTTTTTCCTTTCAAATACACAGTTCTGGGCATTCAGCACCTCACACATCAGATACTTTCTTATAAAAAACAGTCCAGCTCAGTTGTATCCTTCTGTCCTTCTGAAAGCACTGCCTTCAGAAGGACTCAACACCAGGTGGGTTCTGACCCACATAGGGTGAAGAGGGACCTAGTTATACCCCTTGTTTTTAAGGTCTTAGGTGTCATTTGTGTGGGGGTAACTTTTCAGTTGTTTTTTAAATCTACATCCTGCCATTGACTCATAGATGACTTGTGACTCAAAATTCTAGTTCTTTCACACATGTGCTGCTCCTGTGTGCAAACCGTTGCTTTTCTATCTTTGAGGGTGTAGGAGAGAACAAAAAGTACTTTGATTTTCTCACATTTCTCCAGTGCATCTCCAACTTTTCTAGCTTCTATATGATTCTAATTCTGTAGTTCATTATATTTATCCCTCCATCCTCACACTATCTCAAACTGCCTTCTTTATTCTTGTACAAGTGATTCACAAAATCACAGCAAGATTTCAGCTTGATATGGAGCACACATTCTCCGAACTCTGCCTGGAGTCCAGGATTGGCTAAAACTCAGAGAATCAATTCTTCACCCTCCTCCGTCCCCAATCTCAGGGTGCTAGACTATTCATTTATCACCTCCAGCCTTCCAGACCCCCTCAATCTCCCTGAATTAGGGTACTCCATGAGGAGTCTTAGTATCTACTTGGTTTGGTGGTTAAAATTCTGCAGTCGTTGTAGCATTGAGAGATGGTAACTGGGGAAATTTAAGTTCTTCCCAGCTCCAGACACACACATCTAAGACATGTCTTACAAGACACCTGACCTGAAAAGGGACACTGCTGATCTTGAGTCCCACAGTTTATTAGGCACATTGAGACCCCTAACACCTGCTTCCTTGACCTCTTCCAGGAAAGATATATAGGACCATGAATGAAATAAAAAAAAAAACAAAAACAGCGATAAGAAGAATGGTTTTGCATCAAACATCAGCAAGTGAAGAGATGCATGCTGGAGTCTTTTAGGTTACTGCAGACAATGGGGGAAGACATGGAAGTATCTCAGCCCAGTTCTGGATACCAGGCTGTTTATCTCTAAGTAACATCAGCACCAAGTAAGAACAGCCACCTGCCCTAGCTCCATCGCAGAGAGTCACAACAGGATGTGGTTTGACATTTACCGGGTCCCACATCTTGGGTGCCTGTGAAAATTCTTCCCCTCACCCACATTCTGAGCACTTTGGGAACCACACTTGCCACATCCTGCCCCCAAGCCCTTCTTGTGCAGTTCTTTCTACATTGGCCTCTAGCTATCACCATGACAGTGAGGAAGAACAAGATGGGCAAGGAGGGTCTCTAAAGGGGAATCCATATATCTCAGCTCAAGCCCCCCACCTAACCTCTCTCACACCTGCTGGAGGTCACACAGGAAACAGAAGCCTACAGTATGCACCTTGGAGACAGCTGCAATAACTGTTCTGACCTCATTGGGGTTCCTCTGGCCCCACATTTCTCCGACACTCCCTCTTCCCACATGTCCCCACACTCCCTCCAACTTCTCTTCACATGTATCTTCCATTTCCTTCTACTGATGTGATGAGAGTCCATTTAAGTAATGAGTCATGGGAACAGAGACTAAATAATAAACAGAATGCAAAATGGATAGTCTCTTGACATGTGAACTGCTGTCTGGGTTGCACTGGCTGGCTTTTACTGAGGTATATCCTCTGTGAATAAAGCCTGAAAGGTCCATGTGTTTTAGATTTCCCATCCCATATGAGTAAGATGAGGAAGAGAACTACAAACCATACAGGAAAGAACAGAAAGCCAGACCTTCAGAAACTCTCAAAGGTGGGAGTGGGAAGTCAGTCTCAAGATCAACACAAACCAATCCTACTCTATAGCAGTCTATTAATTGCCCATCTCATACTCAACATAAATCAGTCCTGGAAAATCATATGAAGTAGCCCAGTCTTATAGAGTCAGCTGCTTCCCAAGGTGGGGCCTTTCTCTACCTTCCTAAAGAGGTCAAGAGGCCCCAGGGTGTCGCCACATCACTCCCATGATGGCTGAGATCCCTAAGGGCAATCTCTCTGACTTCCATAGTCCTCAGTAACACATGTGTGAAAATCGTGTGAATGAGAGATGGGAATAGTTATGTTAGCACACCTATAAAGTCAGAGTCAAAATCGGAGTCCCTGTGGTTCTCTAGAAAATAGCCACATCTAGCCAGGAAGCATGAGATTGATGTTGGCAGGAGGTGGCACCTATGATTAGGATATGCCATCCTGAACTGCCTTCCCATTTCCTCTGTAGTTACAGTGACTGGGGTTGTGGGTTCTGGGTGCTATGGAAACAGTTACAGCAATAGGATCCTTATGCACGAATAGGAGCTGGAAAGTAAATGCAGGATGCTAACTTGTTCTAGTGTGTATAATACCTGGTTTTCAAGGCCTCCTTTTTTTTCTCCTTTAATTATTTTTTTCTTTTCATTTTTCTTTATTAAGAAATTTTCTACTCATTCCACATGCTATTCACAGACCCCCCCTTCTCCCTCTCCCCACCCCCAGACCTCTTTCCTAAGCCACCCCACATCCCCAGGTCCCCCAAATCAAGGTCTCCCATGGGAAGTCAGAAGAGCCCAGCTTAAACAGCCTCTTGTGGTCTACGGATGTGCTAGGTGACTCACGGCCACCACCATGACTTTTTTCTCCCTCACTACTTTCTGGATCTTAAATTCACTGAGACCTCTGTGTTTCTATTCAGACAACCCACGCATTTGGAATGAAACTGTATTAAATCTAGCTAAAATTGTTTCTCCTTTTAAAGTAAGTTTTCTAGACTTTATCTACAGAGCTATACAGAAATGAAACCTCTGTTTAAAGTGTTTCACTTATGCCACCCGATGAACGGCAACACCTGCGATGTTTCTCTTTGAAGACAGATCCTGAGGCAGCGTAGCGTGCCAACAAGAAAGATGGAGGATCAATTCAGAGTAGACCCAGTATGTGGTACAATTGGCATGGGTTTGCCACACAAGTGTATTTAGCATTCTAATGTTTGTTACATATTTTCTGTTAAAATGTTTAAAAATGAGATGATTTGGAGGAGCTACAATCAAAATGCTTTGTAAGCTTCGAGAGAGGAAAAAGACACCTGCCAAAAATTAGTCTTTGTAATAGTACTTGGAAAAATATAATCTCACCTACTACCTAAAAATCCGCAGAGGCAACATTTACTGGTGAAGGAAATAAGATCTAGAGAGATTGCATAACTTCACTGAAGTCTTAGCAACTAGGAAATCTAGTTGTGGCTTTGCCTGGTTCCATCTTTAATATGTCATTGTTTTCATCTTCATGACGGCTCTCTGTCTCCTAGCTCCTTTGCACAGAAGTCATCCTTCAAGTGAAATAGAGTTGGGCATTGTCACGTGTTCTGTTGATCACTTAGCATCTCTCTTTTGATTTTTTTCTCTGTACATTAAATCATATTGAAAATAAACATAGGTCAGAATCATCCTAGATATGTATGTGTGTGATGCCAGGAGCAGAGGATTTTAAGAGTTCTTGTGCCCTCTTGTGGAGGAAAAGAGACATTGGTGGAAAATTCCTTGTTATGAATATGGCCTAGAGAGGACCGAGGGTTAAAAGAATCTCAGTTGTCAAGGTAACCAGTGTATCTCTTTCCAACCACTCACATCAGTCTTTTTCTCTTCTTCATTTCCATTCAAGTCGCTATTTCTTTTTAAACCTTTTCTATCAAGCATGGTCCTCCTCTTTATCCTCAGCCTCCTGTATTTCTTATGCCACCATCTGTCGGTCTCATCCCTGTTTCGGTACAAAAGAAGAGATGAGAGACAGAGAACTGGGAAGTTTAAATGACAACAAGACCATTCTGGACCTGGTGGCACAGCTTTCGAGGCTGTGGCAGGAGGGTTGCTTCAAATTTGAGGCAAGCTTTGACTACACAGTAGAATTTGTCTCAAAACAAAACAACAAAAACAGCAGTCATAATTCCTGAATGAACATTTTCTGTAAAACATTTACATTTGGCTTAAGTCGGCATGCTGAGAACCTCCCTGTATTAATTTCTATCCTGCATACCTGTCTGATGACATCTTGCTCCTCCCTGATTAATGTCTCAAGTCCAAGCATCTGTAAATGTTCTAGCCTCAGCAGAAAGATGGAGAGACTCTCAGAGGTGAAATTAACTAATTGAGCTACATGAGTTGGCATTCCCCTACCCACTCACCAGTCTACTTGGCATCACGTACAGCTACAGGTAGATCCCACTTCTCTTGGCCACATATGTCCATGAGTATAGCCAGTGCAGCTCAATTGGGATTTTGGACAAGTGTAAGGTATTAGAGGAGAGTAGCATGCTTTGAGGACTGACATATGATATCCTACTACCAGATACCCATAAACCGGAAACTTTACTATGTGTAGGCAACTCACAGGTTCTACACATGGGAGTCATGGAATAGGGAATTTAATAAATTTCTTTGAAGAGCTCTGACTTGAATCACGTTGTTTTCTAGACTTCAACTTGGCTGACAGCCAGAAACTCAGTCACAACCCCCCTCCACCCATCCCTAGCGAGGGCTCCTAGTGAGGGTGGTAGGACTAAGGAAAGGGTGTGGTTTTTGCACAGATGCCTGCCCCACCCCTCTCAGTGTGAGACTCCAAGCACAGAAGTAGAAGCCAGAGTGACTGAGGAGCAGCTTCTTAGAGCTCAGGGTGAACTGGCCATCCTTGGGCCTGGAGGCTGAGAGGTTCCGAGACACCACCGACTGTACCTCACCAACATTAATAGAGTAGAAGAGCTGCTGGAGGGTCCCTCCTGTGGCCTGCCAGTACCAGTAGAGGTTGGGGTTTGATTTCCCTGTTATGGTACACTCCAGAGAGAGTGAACTGCCCACAGGCTGCACCCTGACAGCTGGCCATTGGTGGATTCTCTGAGTACTGACACCTGTAAAAAAGAGAAAGAGTTCTTTAGAGAAGAAGCCCCCTAGTTAGTGAAAGTGCTACACCTTTATTTTCTTGTGGCTCTGGCACACGGCATCAATCCCAGGGAGCAATGCTCTGGAAGAGCTAGGGATGAAAAATGTTCCAGGGCAACGGTAGACAAGGAGTTCCAAGTCCATTCTAAATGATATGAAACTGAGAGCCGATCCTGCAAATGGGGTGAAAGACCAATGCATATCTTGGTAATTGGGGGTGGGGGATGCGGTCAAGAGAGGCAAGCTAGCAGTAAAGACTCCAGGTTAAAGGTATTGGGATGGGAGCAAAGATTTGAAGGGAGGCTTTCCAGGGGGGAGAGCACCCACCCAAAAGAGTGCCCAGGAGAAAGGCAAGGAGAGAGTAGAGCATAGTTCAAGATGGTCTCTGCCTAGGCTTGTCTGCTCCGCGCTTCCTCTTCTAGGCCAGAGATGCTCAGTCCCCTCCCACCTCAGGACAGGCTGCCAGAGTGGAGGTTGAAATCCCCTTGAGCTGGGGAGGAAATGAGGCTGGGCTTTCTGAAGCAGGTGGTGAATCATCCCCACCCTCCCTGGGAACCAGCTGTGCTCGGCACTTGTTAGCATTATTGCAATCCTGCCGATGTTCTGGTATGTAAATATAGTTAATGATTCATTATTTACCTGCAAACAAACTCTCCCTCTCGGTCCTCCTGGAGACATCCGGGGTGTCTTTGACTATCAGAGTACCTAGTGCTGCTAGGATAATGAAGCGAATTTTGGTCAGTGTCAGAACATATCACCTGGATGGCTCGAAAGGAGGGACATGAAAGCAGACAGCAGCTCAAGAGATTTAGGTCTCTAGAATTTTCAAAGGAGAAAAGTGTAGTTCTGAGTAAAGGATGCTGCTATGACAGCCAACAGGGGGAGTGACCACATCCTCTTCATCCCCGGAAGATAGGACTAGAGACCTGGACTGGCAGAATTAACTACTGAAGGGATCAAAGCTGGGCTCTGTGTTCCATGTGCCTCCAAAGGCCCATCTAGATCTATTTTTTCCCCTTTAGTTATAACATGAGGCGGAGAACTCATCTCATAAGGCCTTGGAATTCAATGGGTCTAGGTCAGTACTAGAATTCTTCCCTTTGGCTGTGTAGGAAGCCTGTGCTAATTCTGATCCTTACTTGTCTTGCGTTTTTAGATGTGACAAATAATACCCAATGAGAAGGACTACCAATAAATGACAAGTGGCTCAAAGATGTGTTGTGCCTGGTACAGAGCGAGCACTCTTACAAATATTGCCTTTAAAGTCAAGCAAGTAGTCAAGACTGGAAGATACACAAGGGGAAGATTTGGCAGGTAGGAGCTGAAGATGACAGAGATGCAAGAAGTATAATGACACTGAGCAGAGAGGAAATGTCTAAAAGGCAGTTGGTGGAGCTTCATTCCACTGGGATGAGACATAACACCCCAAGATTCTTGGAGGACAGCCAACTGGCCCCTTAAAACCTCACTTATGCTGTTCTTTGTTCTCTGAAGCATTCATTTATAAAACAATTATTCAATCTTAGATGTGGGCGAGTGGTTTAAAGTGAGGGCCTGGAAAAGGAAACAGTAGACACGGCCAACCAGGGAGGTGGAGCCTGAAGCAAATGAGGTGTTGGAAGTGCTTCACCGCTTCGTCGGGGGCTGGTGACCTAATGCATTTGTTGTTGATGCTGTTGCTGTAAAAGCACAGCTTAATTAATATTGGAGCTCTTCCTTCTGATGGCTTCAGTTGCAGCACTTTCCATTTGTTTACATCTGAGTGCACCGTGTTTGTGAAGGGCATGCTTCGTGTGGTTGTTATTTTTCATCTTTTCTAAGTCTAATTAACCCTCTTACAACATTTATTTTACCAAGAAAGCAAGTGATACACATAATGTGCATGCAATAAACACTCAGAAATATGATGAAAAAAATAGCTATAGGGAACGCAGGAAGCCAATGCTGCTGGAAAATTGCTCAGTCTCAGTTTCTATAAATCTCTTGATAGAATACATCAAGCCAGGATTTGGGGGACTGGACCCAAGGTAGCAAACACACATACATTCTTCAGCTGCCTTTGTCCATTTATCCACTCTTCTTTGCTCCTGGATTGATTTTTTTCAAGGGGGAGCAGCAGGGTGGTGGGAGGGCCCCTGCGTGAGAAGTAAGCACAGAGAAGAGAGGAGGTAGGTAGTGTCAGCACAGAAAAGTGAATTCCTTACTCCTGCTTTCAGTGGGACTGCATCGTATTTTCATTAGGCTGGCAGATGTAGCTGCCATCCCAGCCCATGAGACCTGACGTAATCCATTGGTCATACTGTCTCAGTCTCACTGCCAAGTGCAGAAACAACAGTCTTCCTCCTCCAGTGTGAAATAGCAGATTGGGGGTGAGGAGGCATATCAGTCAGATCAGAATAACCAGCTGGCTCCTAAATCCTCATCATTATCACAATTCTAGCTTGAAGTTCCTTCCATATGGCTGATGCCTTAGAGGAAAAAAAAAAAAAAAGCTCTTTTCCTTCTCCATCACCATCTGCAACACTGCTTATTCATTCAGTCATTCAAGGCATTCATCTGTTGGTGGGGATGTGAACTCTGGGCTCGGTGGCTGCAGGTCTTTGGAAGGGAAGGATCTGGCCGCATCTAGCCCTGATGAGGTGTTCACTAGACCAGGTAATCAGAGGCTGGCTTGACCTGCGGCTGCCTCTTTCCTTAACCTGCTAAGGCATTTGTAGGTGGGGGCCCATTTCTCTGGTAAACCTCCTATCAAATCCTTTTGTTACCTTCTTGGGCTCCCCCCCCACCCCCCGCCACACAGACTATCCTAGACTTGATTCTTAATGAATCACATGAAAAGAATGACTATATTAGTCACCACTTCTTTATCATTTATAAACTTTTATGTCTTATATATAATAAACTTGGAAGACACTTGTGAAGGCTCTTTGTTCCTCTATAAGAGTTAAAAATGACTACAGCTTATGGAAAGGGGCAGAGAGCCAGTCAAAGTCACGTGTCTGAGTTTCCTGTTGTGGCTTGCATGTGTCCTCCAAGGCATATGTATTGAAAACTTAATCACTATTCCAACAGCGATAATAACCTTCAAGTGTGATTAGACCATGAAGGCTTGGCTCTTAAGAATGAATTAATCCTGTTATAGTGGGAGTGAGTTCCTTAAAATGATAAGCTTGGCATGTTCTCTCTCTCTCTCTCTCTCTCTCTCTCTCTCTCTCTCTCTC